GAGTTCCTGCTCTAGCATAGAACAAATGTCACCTGATTGCCTTCGGGTCCCTCAGAATGCTTATGAGTGAAGATCATTGTGTGTGTTTTTAGGGCAGCAGCAAGAGAACAGCTTTCCTCATGCAAAGTAGATTTTGGTTCTTCTGCATTGGAGAGGGTGACTTTTTATTGGTGGCTGAGTGGAGAGTCAAGTGAGTATAGCTCTTCAGAGAAAGGATGCGGAAGGAAACTGCTGCTCTGGAAGTCTGCCCAGCTGGTGTGTCCAAACGCTTGTGTATGAGCATTGCATCACTCATTTTTAGCCTTTACAAATTGTCCTTTTGCGTACGTTTTAGAATCTGAAACTGCTTGTATTCTGTTGGGGTCAGACGATGCTTTTTCAATTAAGTACCCATCAAATGTTTATTCTAAAAACAGTTGCTCCACATTTTTATGCATCTGAACAGAAGGGTGATTAATTTCCCTGTGGCTTCTGCAGACCTGATAGCCCCAGGCATATCTTTGGCATATACTCTGGTTCAGTAATCTTACCCAGGCAGGGCCTGATGATGCCACACTCTTCCCACTTATCGGGGATGTGTTAGTTGTAGTGAGCTTGCTAGAGAGGAGAAGACACCTCAGGGCTTGCCAGAGCCTCTCGCCAATGCATTTTGTTCATCTGGGCCGGTGTACGACCCTTCTGTGCCCTGGTACCACTCCTCTGCACAGCCAGCCCTCTTGTGCAGAGGTGCCCAGGTGGACTGCACACCCCCCTCCCTGCCTTTTTGAAAATTGAAACAGGTTCTTGCTATATAGTTCAGGCTGGCCTCAAACTCACTATGCTGAAGTTATGTGCCCACCCTCCCCCTAGACCAGAAGCTTTTGAAGGCCATGCAGCACCCTGTGTACACACAGGGGAGTTCAGAGGGAGCTTTAGACCCCTGCAGGGTTAAGGGATCACTAGGATTAGCTGTGAGGAACTTCCTGTTGTGTCTGTCACATAGTGCTGATGAAAGCCTCCCCATGCAGGGCAGCAGGCCAGCCTGTGGCAGCACAGCCGCACTGTCCACTGTGTGGCTGTTTTCACTGAGGGTGGAGTAGTTGCAACTAGAGTCTAGCAGTGGCTCAGAGCCCCGGTAGTTACTGCCTGGTTCTTCACAGAAAAATCTGCCAAGCCCTGTACATGTGATTCATGCTCTTATAAGAAAGTCTGTTGAACACTCTGAACACTTGTGCGGAAAGATACCTGCAGCCTAAAGCACTGGTTCACTCCTTCTACCTGAAAGACTTGTTACTTTGCATTTGGCCCTCCAGCAGCTCTCTGTGGTCACTGATGGCCTTCACATCTCTTCAGCCATCCCAGTCCTTGGTGTCTTCCGTGTGGGACTTCCTCTTGTCCATGCTCAGTGTTACCACTGTCCATGGGGTACCCGCTTTCCTCCTGTAGAATCTGTGATGCCTCCGTAGTCCTAGTGGGATATTTTGGGGTTCTCCAGATGTTGGACCAGACCATTGACAATTTTTGCTCAATTTTTCTTGTTCTGTTACCAAGATATTATAGTAATAGTTTTGACTGTGCGGCTCATTTTTGTGGTTGATTTTTTTTTATTATAAAACTTGCACCATTTGCTAATTGTTCACTTTTCTGAAAAACAAATATAAGAATTCCTAAAACTAGCCTTGTAGGACAGAAAGATGCCCTGGAAAGAGCTTACAAGTGGTTCCCTTTATACCTAGTCTGAGCTTCTTTATCAGACTAGGGCTCCACCTTCTGTCAACTCTGATATGGTTTGTGGTTTGTGGTAGAAGAAATCGGACAGAAGAGTCACATTCAGGAAGCTTGACAGCTTTAAGGCTGTCTGATGCTAGTGGCTTGCACATTCTACACATTATCAAATAAGCACCATCATGGCTAACTGTACTCTTTATTCTCTGAAGAACCTTTGGGGTTGGCTGTGTTCTTTTATTACAGTTTCTGTTTATCCCCGAGTACAGACTCTGAAACCCATGTACAATCTCCATGTCCAAGTATTATGGTTTGTGTCTAGATGTCCTCCTAAAGCCTCATGTGGTCATATGGTTTTTTCAGAGGTGGCTGTATCTAGAGTGATTGATTTGTAGTGCAGTGCTGGAAATAAGGGTGGGTGATTGCTGGCTCAGTCCACTGATTGGATGGACACCACCCTGGTCCCTGTAGACTGAATACAATATGAGGGACAGGAAGAGGCTGGTCTCCCCCTTCGCTGGCTTGCTTTTGCTGTCTTCTGCTGCCATGAACCATTGCCTCTCTGCCGTGCCCTCCTGCCTTGAAGCCAGCCAACTATGGACTGAAACCTCTACAAACTGTGAACTAAATAAATCCTTCCTCCTTTAACTTTAGGTGTTGGGTATTTTGTCTCAGCAATGAGAAAAGTAAATAAGACAGCAAGTATTGAAGTTTGTTTCAGACCCATGTCAGGTAGCCATCCTAGTGTCTGCTGGGTATCACACCGCTGGGCAAGCTGGCCAAGTGGCAGCACAGTGCAGAGCACAAATTTTTTACTGCCAGGCCTGCTTCCTGTTCAGTCTGGACACTGTCCACAGTCAAGGTAGAAACCTTGAAATCAGTGGCAATCCTGGCCAGCTGGAATGTAACAGCAGTCCATTTCTTCACCATTAAGTGAAGCTTTCAAAAGCTGTCTGGCCTGTTCTAGAAAGTGTCTCACCAGGCGTGATGTGTGGTACGCCTGTAGTCCCAGCACTTGGAAGCCTGAGGCAGGAAGATTGCCGTGAGTTTGAGGCCAGCCTTGGCTGTATAAGTGAGTTCAAGGTCAGCCTACACTACACAGGGAGACCTTGTCTCAAAAGAAAACAAAAACCAAACCAAAACAATAAAGAAAGTGTTCTGGGATAGAGTGGGATCCTGGCCTCCAGGCCTTGGAAGTGGTGTGGATAGCTACTTTTATCTGGCTGCCAAGAACTTGTGGATTGTTCTTGTGTGTCCTGAAGATGTGATTTAGCTTTGGATCTATCACCTGAGAAAGACTCCTGTCCCCTTCCACTTCCTAACATCCCTGAATGAACTGCACTCTGGCCCAGACCATTTCCCAGTTGGCCCTTGTTTGCTATGGGATTTCATTGTGGCTCATCCAGTTGTGTCTGCAGAAATTTGTCCACTTTCTGCCTCAGGATTTGGTGCACTGGCTTGGCACCCATGGTGGCCAAGCAGTCCCAACAGAAGCTGCCACTTAGGCCCCGGCTCTGGAGTTGCCCCAAGGACATGACACTGAGAGCAATGTGCTTTGAGTCATTGAAGGAGCAAGGCTACTGCCAGCCCTGCTGGCAAATCCTGAAGCAGAAAGTAGGTAATTTTATGGCAACACAGGTCTGGACGAGCCGGAATGGAGCCCTACACCAAGAACCAGTTGTGAAATGGTCTGGGGCAGAGCAGTTCAGTTGCAGGTATTGGAAGCAGAGAGGAGCAGAGTTCTCAGGCGTGTGCTGACCTGAGGCAGTGCTTTTCCTGTCTGAAGAAGGTGGGCTCATAGAGAACCAGATGTGGCAGTCTTTGGATAAAACTGTCACTGCCAGATGTCCTCAGGTCTACACGTGGCACTCCTGGGAAAGTGTGCTCGGGGAAGAACCTCCAAAAGCAGCTCTCAAGCCCCTGCCTGCCCACCCCTGGCCATAGTGCCATGGGTCTGCTGGCATGAAGCAAGCTAGGGAGTCCCAGAATGACTCCTTCTGCATGTCAGAAGCCATGCTGGGTGCAGGGATGGGGCCTGACCAGGACAGGTGAGGGTCTCTAGTGTGCCCTGGTAAGGAGTGGGCTCTGGGTATAGTTGTGGTCTATGGCGGGTCCTCAGCAGTACAGATGTAAGAGGTTTTTAGACACTTGTTATCAATATAACAAAGTAGTTTTATGTTGTCGAATCTAATAATAAAATAATCAGACTTTATTGGGTGTGATAGTGCATGCCTATAGTCCCAAGTGTCCAGCGAATCTGAGCCCGGAGGATATTGAGTTTGAGGCTGGCCTAACCAACTTAGTGAGACCTTGTCTCAAAAAGAAAAATGGATTTCCATATTAGTGTGTCTTTGTTTTTTTTAAGTTCACCTTTTCTTGCAAGTTATTGTCTTACTGAAATATGAGTCCATGATTGGAAGTAAAAGAGCAGGGGAGGGCCAGGAATATAGCTCAGTGGCATAAGCACTTGCCTGGCAAGCCTGAGGTCATGAGTTCGATTCCCAGTACAAAAAAAAAAAAAAATTAAAAGAGCAGGGGAACTTGTGTGGGGTGAATCTTTCAGGGGCCTGAGTTCCAGCTCTGGAGCCAAGTGCCGATGGGAATTGGTGCTGGTTCTCAGAACCCTGTGTGGTGCCAGCCCTAGCTCAGCTACTTAGCTGCCTCAGTTTCTCAGTTAAAGTGTATGCACTCCAGGAAACTTTTTTTTTTTTACTTTATATTTCTTATTAGTACGTATTTGTCATACATAGTGACCACATTCATCTGGGAATTTGTACCATGAGGATATGTCTTGATTCTTTTTTTTCCCATTCCCCTCACCTCCCTTCAACCCTTCTTCCAAGGGGTTTACAAAAGCTTTGTTTCCTTTTTTTTCTTCTATTCTTTTTTCCCCCTTCCCTTCCCTCCGCTCCACTCCCCTACCTTTCCCTTCCCATTTGAACATGTTCTTCCTACCTCCCAATACCTACCCTCCACTGTGCTCCAGGAAGCTACTTTATCCATAAAGTAGCTCTTGTCAGTGTGCAAACTCTGTTTCCCACCTGCCTTTCTCCACTCCTTGCTGTAGAGTGAGGTTAGGGTAGAGTAGCCCATGGTCAAGGTGCAGGCAAGCCCTTGAGGGCTGGGCCTGGTAGTTCTGCCCTGCCCACTCCAGAACCATGGTGTGACCAGACAGCTGGTAGCAGGCCCAGAGCTCTGTCCTGTCTCTAGTTGCCCTGGCTGGGGATCTGAGGTGGACACTGGAGAAGAAAGGCCAGAGTAACTGATGGTGCATGCACTCCTTCCTCCTGCTGTAGCTACGGCCATGCTGAGCTCTGAGCAGGCCCTGAGTGAGCTGCTGATGCGCAAGGAGGAGGAGTGGCGGGTACTGCAGGCCCAGCACAGCAGACTACAGGAGGCGGCTCTGCAGGACACTCAGCGACAGCTGGAGGAGGCACAGGGGAAGCTGCGGCGCCTTCAGGAAGACTTCGTCTACAACCTGCAGGTGCTGGAAGAGCGGGACCATGAGCTGGAGCGCTATGATGCTGCATTTGCCCGGGCCAGGGGGCAGGAGGAAGCCAGGCAGGCAGAGATGAGCGAGCTCAAGGTAGAGGTGGCCAAGCTGAAGCAGGAGCTCGCCAGAGAAGTCAGGCATGTGGTGGAGCTGCAGGAGCAGCTGCAGCTCAGGTCACAGGAGCATCGCCTGGAGTTGGACCGCATCCACAGGTGAGACCCTCCACAGTGAATGCCACAGATGCCAAGGGGCCCGCTGCCTCCTGCTTTTGGCTAGCAGCCCATTACTGGCCACATGCACCATGCCCTCACCGTGAGCCCCAGACTCTAGGCAGCAGGGTGTGCAGCCTCAGCATGCCAGGATGATGCAGGCCCAGCAGCCCTGGATGCCTGTTCCCATGTGACAGAAATTATTCAAGGTTCATTTAAACATGTAGAATTTGTTTTACTAATTATAGATATGTTATCTTAATGAAACATGCTTGTTTATTTTAGTGTAGAGTATATATTAATTTTAAAGCTAAGTGAGCTGACTTCACACAAGCTGACATAAGAACCTACAGCGGCCATCTGTAGGTTGTGTTGGCAGGGCCTCCGGCACATGGTCTCTGTCATTCACATGTGTATGCAGAGTTTTGATAAAGTGGTATGGAAGAAAGATAAGACAGGCTTGGCTTAAAAATTTCCAAGTCCCTCCCCTCCCCTGGCTCTTCAGAAGTAGTGCAATTTGCTGTATCACATTCAGAACAGAACAGGTCTTGTAAGGTCTGTCACTGTGTGTGGCAGCAAGAGCAAGCACACTGGGTTCTGGAGGTTTTTCCATGTTGTTACATACTCCTAATTTACATAACATTTGATGTTATTTTCTTGATACAGGTTCTCATTATGTAGCCTAGGCTGGGCTTAAATGTGTGATTCTCCTTCCTCAGCCACCTGAATGCCAGTATTATAGGTGTGTGCCACTGCACCTGGTTTATATAGCCTTTTAACGTACTTAAGCATGATGGCACATACCTGTAATCCCAGCATTCTGGGAGGCTGAAGCAGGAAGATCACAAGATTTGAGAGCAGCCTGCCAAACTTAGTGACTTAGACTCTATTTCAAAAATAAGACAAAAAGGCCGGTCATGTAGCTCAGTGTAAAGGCTCTGGCTTCAACCCCCACTACCACCACCACCAAAAAAAACCACAGACAAAATGTTCTTCCAGAAGATGACAGGGTGAATGGTCAGGGATCCAAGCAAATTCCCAAGTTGTCCATTGCTTGCTTCTGGCCACCCCATGGTGGGGTGTCGAGTTCTGACCTGCCTGGCTCTCTGTTGTGTGCTGCCCAACAGGATGGAGGCTGAGATTCCTGCTCACAGAGGGACTTCCTGTGGTGGACAGGTGCAAGGGGAGGGAACAGCATGGGTGAATGTGGCACCATTATCTCCTATTGAGAACCCACAGGTAGCTTCCAAGGTCCCTGCAGCAGTTGTACCTATCAGGCTGGGCATGATGGCACATACCTGTAATCCCCACACTCGGGAGGCTGATGCAGGAGGATTGCATGAGATCGAGGCCAGCCTGGGCAACATAGTGAATTTAAGGCCACGTGAACTGCATAGTGAGACCCTGTCTTGAAAACCCAAAAAACAAAATGAACCTGTCACAGAGTCACTGACCTCGAGGAAGCTCCATGTATCCATGGTCCCTCAGCAATGTGTTGCAGGACAGATGTGGGGTGTCAGTTCACTTAGTCACTGCAGCACAGCACCACCATCCCTGGAGACCTGGGAGGGGCTGGGCAGTGGACCTGAAGCCAGCTCCCTGTAGGGGGAGGCCACTGGGGCTGGGCTCCCATCCTTGTGTGGCTGTGACCGCTCAGGCTGGTCCTCACCGGCCCTGGAAAGGTCACAGGTGTGTGCACTGGGCGTGGACATTCTTTCTCACAGATGTTTTGAATTTGAGGTGGTTTACTTTTTTTTTTTTTTTTAAAGTGCTTCATAGAGCCAGGGATATAGTTCAGCGGCCCAGCATCTGCTTGGCAAGCACGAGGTCCTGAGTTCGATTCCAGATTCAAAAAAAAAATTCCCATGGTCACATTATCAATCTTGTTAAAATATCCAATTTTTGCAGACTTTCCCATATCTGATTTGAGCTGGGCGCGGTGGCGCATGCCTGTAATTCCAGCACTTGGGAGGCTGAGGCAGGAGGATCATTGAAAGTTTGAGACCAGCCTGGGCTACAAAGTGACCTCAAGGCCAGTCTGAACTGCATAGCAAGACCCTGTCTCAAAAAAAAAAAAAAAAAAGTGCTTACATTATTTTATGACATGTCTCCTCAAATCCTTTGCCTATTCTTTTTCCCCAAATCTGGGCCCGTTCATGTATGTTTAAATCCTCTTTCAGTCCCACACTCTTCCCTTCCATTCTGGGCCCCCAATGCATGAGTGTTAGATATTTTGTTATTACCCTACAAGTCCCTGGGACTGTATTCATTTTTTTTTTTTTAATTTATTTTCTTCCTGTTGTTCAGATAAGGTTATTTCTGTTGTTTGTCTCACTGATTCCATCTTTTTGTCATGGTTGTTCTACCATTGTGTCCATGCAGTGAGTCTTTTATTTTGGTTGTTGTACTTTCTGGTTTTCAGATTTCCGTTTGAGCTGGATGCAGTGGCACACACTTGTAATTACAGCTACTCAGGAGGCTAAAGCAGGAGGATCACAGGTTCAAGGCCAGACTGGCAACATAGCAAGAGTTTGTCTCAAAATAAAATGTTAAAAGAAGGGCCAGAGGTATAGCTCAGTGGTAGAGTGCCCTTAGATTATTTGACCCCTAGTACAAAAAAGAAAGAAAGAAAGAATGAATGAATGAAAGAAAAGAAAAAACGAAAACCCTCTAAGTGCTGGGAATGTAACTGTCTGGTAGAGCACTGGCTGAGCATGCTTGAGGCTGTGGGTTCAATCCCCAGTACTGAAAAAAAATTTTGTTTGATTCTTTGCTCTACTTTTTCTGTGCTGAGATCTTGTTTTTTTCATTTGTTTTTCTAAGTTGCTTATTCATATCAGTGTTGTCTTGGTGTTGGCCTGTGTTAGTGCACTTTTCCTGGTTCTTAGTAGCCAGGCCCATTAGGAGCTGATTTGTGCACAGCCTGGTCAGGTGCAGTAGTCAGGTCTAAGTGGGCAGAAGCCCTGCTCCCTCTGGACCCCACTGCCACCACCCCGGCAAAAGCAAAGCACCACCTCCACATGTAGGGGCCCTGGCAAGTGTCTGTTTTGTGAATATTTCATGTGCTTTATTAGTGCTGTGTCTTATTACCACAGTGACAAGAATGATGAGATGGACCACCAGCGGGAGCAGTATGAGAATCTGAAGTGGAGGCTGGAGAGAAAACTTGAGCAACTCGATGGTGAACTTGCTCTGCAGAGACAGGTAGAGCATCTGGACCTGGTCTCTGCTTGCCTGCTCTGGCTCCTAGATTGCATGGGGTTGTGGAGTGGTTGGCATTCTACCTCCTGGGAAGGTCTCCCTGGACCACTGTCCTTCAGAGGGTCTACGGTGCTGCTGCCATCCATGCTTGGGTGGTGAGTCCATGCCATGCAGGCCACTTGCAAACCAGGAGAGTCTTCCTTTCCTCTGTCGGGAACTCACAGAGGCCACACATGGGTACAGGCTGGGAGAGAAGGCAGTGAAGCAGCAGTGGGGCCAGAGGCATTGGGTCCCTCCTTCAGGCTCTTGCTTGTGCTTGTAGGACCTGCCTGGGCTGACTGTGTAGCTTACATTTCTGTTTAGTGATGGGGTCTTGCTATACATGCCAAACTTTACAGCTTGGAGGGTTGGATGACACAGTTCATGATGGGCAGCTCAGGTCACATGGTACCTTGGTGACTCATGGTCAAGTGTTCAATTTACACCAAAGCCTAGTAGCAGGCCAAGAGCTGTCTTTCAAAAGGAGAGTAGTTGTCTGTGGATGATGTCAGGCCTTACTCCTAAGTCCTACAGGCCTGGATTGCACTTCCCCCATAGAACCTGCCTGCCCTAACACCCCAAGTACCATCAGGTCTGCGGGACCAAGTGACCAAGAGGCAGAGCAGCCTGAATTTGTTGCAGAGCTGCCCCCCCTCAGCATTCTAGGCCCACTGAAAACTTGCAGCTTTTTGGGTTACCCAAGTAAATGGTTGGAGTAAGGGATATGTTGCCTCCAAACTCTGAAGAGTGCTGCTAGCAATTGTGCATCTTCTTAGGTGGGGCCAGATGCAACTTATCCTTCACTTCCAAATGGATATCTCAACATGACTTGTACCAGGTCACAGGAAGCTCATGGAAGTAGAGGCCGCTGAATTTTATCAGATTTGCACATCACCTGCAGATATGCAAATGTCTTGCCTATAAGTTTAAAGCAGTTGCTACCTCTTGCTCACTCAATCCAGTCAGTGTAACAGACAGTGTGATAGCTTTGCGCAGAAAGTCAAGGTGATCATGACCCTTGTGAACTAAACTGTGACATGGGGCTGGAGAGTTTACCCATTGGATGGGGCAGGGAGGTGTATTGCTGGCCTTGCCAGCTGAAAGCAAACTGCTTCTGGTCGGACTGTGAACAGGGATGGAGTAAAAGATTTGCTTGACTGTAGCTATGTTCAGGGATGAGGGAATGCATTTACCTAAGCAGTGAGACTATATCTGGCACAGCATCTGTGGTTGGGGTTGCCTCTTAGTTGGGCTTGCATTCGCCCAACCTCCTTTTCCAAGATCCACCCATCTTCTACACAGGCCAATAGGAGAGTTAAATGGGTTTGTGGCAGGTGCCACCAGGCCTCATCTTTCAGGTCTTTGATAGTGACTAGATCTTTGCAGTCCCTCCAGGGAAACCATGTTGCTTTTGATTTGCCCAGGTAGAGAGCATTCCATTGGCCTCTACATGGCCTTTCCACAGGGATGAGTGGGGGGATTCTGCCTGCTGCTAAGTGTATCTAGTCCAGTTATGTATTTTGGGACCCACCAGTTCCACTATGAGACAGACCTGAGCTAAACCCCCTGCATCGCCTAAAGTCCCTAAGCCCCTTCTCCACTGGAGGTGGACGCCGCTCTAGTGATTCCAAGCTCCTAGAATCATCAGTTCAGGGCCAGTGTCTAGAAGCCCCCAAAATGTCTGATGATTTTCTTTTCTCATTGCACAGTGAGCTTGGTAAAAGGCCCTAAGTTCCTTAGAAGAAGGGTGGGAGAACAGGCTGCACTGTAGCTTTGGTAGTATACCAAGCTCCCTCCTCAGGGAACCGGGCCTCTCCTTCCTTCCTGGGGGTGGTGGGTCCATAGATGGCTCAGGCCTGAGAATGATGGAGGAGCCAAGACTGTTCTTAGGATTCAAGGTAGACTTTTGTTCATTTGTCTTGGAAGTTTTCTGCTTGTTATAGTTTGGGTCTAAAATGCCTCCCTAAGGCCAGCCGAGAGGCTTTGGGTAAGTATTTGGACCATGAAGGTGTCAACTGTATCGATGGATTAATCAGTTATTAATGGATTAATGGCCGAATGGGCTGTTAAGAAATGAAGCCTAGTTGAAGAGAATGGGTCTTGGGAGCATGGCCTTAGAGACTGGATTTTGACCCTGGCCTCTTCCTCTATGACTGTTTCCTGGCTGCCCCAAGGGGATCATTTTTCCTCTGCCACACCCTCTGCCATGTTGTTTCTGTCTCGCCACAGGCCTAAAAGCAATAGAGCCAGCTGACTGTAGACCAAAATCTCTGAAACCATAGGCCAAAATAAATTTCTCCTCCTTTAAATTATTTTTCCCAGGTATTTGGTTCCTCACAGCAAAGAAAAATCTAATACCTATCCAGTAAGACTTTAGGTTTTCTGTTTCACTCCTGGAGTGCCATGATTAACTGTTCTGATTGCTCGTTTGCCTCTGCTGTTTGTGCATCTTGCCTTTGGCAGGTGAGTGCTGCCATTTGTTCCCTGCTGCCCCACGATCCAGGGGGTCTCAGTGCTTTTAGGTGTTCCAGTTGATTGGCTGTGGTTCCTGTGGTAAGGTCTGACCTAGAGAGGAGAGCAATCAAGGAGCTTTTCAGGGTTTCTGGGGCTCCCTCACAAGTCTGTTTCTCAAAGTAGTGGTGAAAGTTGTGTCTTCTGGATCCGTCACTGTAGATAAGTTTTCAGTTACCATCTCTCTAGGCCGTGGTATCCCTTCTTCTACTGTAGTTAAACCAAAGGAGCCTGGGTATTTCTAACTTACTGTGGCCCTTTTTGATATGCATCATGTGGCCAGCAGGTGGAGCTCTTCCTAACTGCCAAGCTGCTGCTTTAATGCAGTCTCTATTGAGGCCCCGTCAATAAATACTTTAGTCAGTTCAGCAGACCCACCTTATGTTCCTTTCCCCATCTTCCCACATCTCTAATGCCTGTCCCCACATGTTTTCCCCAGATTTCTGCTTGTCTCAGGAAACTCAAGTAGTTCTTTTAGAGTGTAGCGCACCTCCTCATGGATCACCTTTGCACTGCACTGTTAGGGACCTGCTGGGACTGGAGTCTAGTAATTGGTCTGGAAACAAGAGCGAGGGTGTCCTAGAGAGACTCAGCTTCATCCCAGCAGATAACTGCCTTGGGGAGGCAGTGCCTTGTCCCCCCAGGGCTGCAGAGTTCCAGACCAGTGGGAGTGGGGAGGCTAATACCACAGGTAGTGGGAGACTACTGGCAACGATGAATAGTAAGAGTATAGGGCAGTGGTGGCAAACCTATGGCACTCATATTATTTGTTTTTAAGACAAAAGATGTTGTTATAGTTGGGGTTTACAAGAAGAACAGTACAGGACACATAATTTATAAGATTATTTTGTAATAGTCACCCAAAGAATCATATGCAAGACAGTGTAAGAAATCTGTCTATACACTAGGACCAAAAGAATCCAGCTGAGGGCCTGGATCCCATGACAATGTCCTGCATGAGTCCAGCTGAAAACCTAGAGCCCATGGCAATACCCTCCACAAGTCCAGCTGGAGGCCTAGAGCCCATGACAATGTCTCATGCAAGCCCGAATCAAGGACCTGTACTGGGAAGGCCAAAGGTTAGTGGTGAAAGCTAGAAAGTCTGTGCCAGTGGGATGAAGGATGTGTTCCAGCAGGCTAGGGGATCTGCACTAGAGCCAGGAAACAATGCTCAAAGTAAGAACCAGAGCTCTCCCAAAAGGTACCACAGCCATCCTCAGTGACAATGAGATCCCAAGCTCCTCTGATGATGAGAATAGCTGAGTCCGTGTCAGGGAAGCCAGCATGACAAGCTTCTCCAGGACACTGAACAGTGCACCATCCTCCCCTCCCAAGCCAGGAAGTGATGCTCAAAGTAAGAACCAGAGATCCCCCAAAGTGAACTGTAGCCATTCTCAGTAACAACAGGGTCCAGAGCTCCTCCAACAATAACAGCCCAGTTTATCAGGAAAGCCAGCATGACAAGCTCCTCCAACAGCTCCCTACAGCTTCTAAATTTCTTCCTTTCCAGTTCTGCCTCTTATGTTGCTGGCAACAGTCCTCAGGTGGGCTGCTGGTTCAGTTCGACTGGGTGCTACAAGTTGACCACTAGTTGTCAGTCTACCACAGATGTTAATGTATGAGTTGTTTCTCTGAATTAAAACCTCAGTATTCAGGTTTAATTTGCAGTGTTGGCACTTGGCAATAAATAAATTGGTTTCAGTTTACAGTTTGCGCATTCATCTCTGAAAGGTTTGCCATCACTGATAACAGGGACTTAAACTGGGCATAGTGGCCCACACCCGTAATCCCAACACTCAGGAGGCTGAGGTAGGAGGATTACCATGAGTTCGAGGCCAGCCTACACTACATAGAGAGACCCTGTCTCAAAAAATCAAAAAAGAAAAAGAATATAGGGACTTGGTGTCCTCAGCTTCGTCAGGGTCCTCCCACATGTTACCATCCCAGTGTACAGAATCCTGTTCCTTCCCAAGCAGGCTCACTCAGCCATCACCCTGGGAGCCTGCAAGTCTATTTGCACTGTGATATAGCCAGTTGCAACTAACTTCGTTACATATTTCTCAGTTCCCCAGAGGTATTTGAAAGTATCATATACAGAGCCCCTCAGCTCCTTGCCCCTTAGAAGTGAGTGGCAGGAATAGCCAGTGTAGTTATTTTGTGTATCTCTATAAATAGGTTCCATCATGGACCATAGTGCTGTCTTTAGAAGTGGAAACTTTAGTGGCTAGGCTGGGTAGCACACTTCTCTGATCCCAGCTACTCATGAGGCTGAGGCAGGAGAATCACAAGTTTGAGGCCAGCATGGGCAGCTTAGCAAGACCCTGTGTCAAAATTTTTAAAGTGTAAAGAGCTCTGGGGACGTAGCAGGTACAAGGCTCTGGATATAATCCCTAGTACTGGCGGGGGGATGTGGAGAAGAATCGTTAGCATTTCTAGGTCTAATCATACTAGAG